CTGTGGGAGCACAGAGGGCAGGAGTTGAAGCTTGGGATCCTCTGTGTAGAGTTCAGAGGATGTACAAAAATGACTGGATGTCCAGGCTGAAGCATGCAGCAGGGCTGGAGCCCTCAGAGAGATCCTCTACTAGAGCAATGCAGAAGGGAAATGTGGGGTTGTAGCCCCCAGTGTCCCCACTGGAGCACTGCCTAGGGGAGCTGTGATAAGAAGGCCATTTTCCTCCAGAGCCCAGAATGGTAGAGCCATTAACAGCTTTCTCAGTGTGCCTGGAAAAGCTCAGGCACTCAATGCCAGCCCATGAGAGCAGCTGCAGGGGCTGAACTCTGTAAGGCCCCAGAAGCAGGGATGCTCTAGGCTTTGGGAGCTCACCCCTTACACCAGTGTAACCTGAATGTGAGACATGGAGTCAAAGAAGATTATTTTGGAGCTTTGAGGTTTAATTACTGTTCTGCTGGGTTTTGGAATTTCATGCGGCCTGTAGCCACTTTCTTTTGGCCAATTTCTCCCTTTTGGAACAGGAGCATTTACCCAATACTGGTACCTTCATTGTATCGTGGAAGTAACTAACTTGGTTTTTATTTTACAGGCTCATATGTGGAAGGGATTTGCCTGGTCCCAGATGAGATTTTGGATTTGGGACTTTTGAGTTAATGCTGAAATGAGTTACGATTTTGGGGAGCCTGTAGGGAAGCCATGATTGTATTTTGCAATGTGAGAAGAACATGAGATTTGGGAGGGGGCAAGGAAGGAATGATATGGTTTGGATCTGTGTCCCCACCCAAATCTTATGTCAATTGTAATCCCCAATTTTGGAGGTGGAGTATGGTGGCATGTGATTGAATCATGAGGGTGGTTTCTCATAAATGGTTTAGCACCATCCCCCTAGTACTGTTCTTATGATAGTGAGTTCTCATGAGATCTGGTTGTTTAAATGTGGATAGCACCTTCCCCTTCTCTCTTCCTCCTACTCAGGGCATGTAAGATGTGCCTGTTTCCCTTTCACCTTCTGCCATGATTGTGAATTTCTTGGGGCCTCTCCAGAAGCAGAAGTTGCTATGCTTCCTGTACAGCCTGCAAAACTGTGTGCCAATTAAAGTTCTTTTTTTTTTTTTTTTTTGAGACGGAGTTTTGCTCTTGTCACCCAGGCTGGAGTGCAATGGCGCGATCTCGGCTCACCGCAACCTCCGCCTCCTGGGTTCAGGCAATTCTCCTGCCTCAACCTCCTCAGTACCTGGGATTACAGGCACGCGCCACCATGCCCAGCTAATTTTTTTGTATTTTTAGTAGAGATGGGGTTTCACCATGTTGACCAGGATGATCTCGATCTCTTGACCTCATGATCCACCCGCCTCGGCCTCCCACAGTGCTGGGATTACAGGCTTGAGCCACCGCGCCCGGCTTAAAGTTCTTTTATTTATAAATTACCTAGCCTCAGATGTTTCTACTTTTATTTTTTGTAAGATGGGGTTTCACCATGATGGCCAGGCTGGTCTTGAACTCCTGACCTCAGGCAATCCACACACCTCAGCCTCCCAAAGTGCTAGGATTACAGGCGTGAGCCACTGCACCCGGCTCCAGATGTTTCTTTTTAGCAGTGCAAGAATGGACTCATACAACCTATTTAAAGTTGATTTTGTTGGACAATGATATCTTACTATCTTACTCTCTTTTAGACTTTGGTCACATTTTACCTGGATCTCTGCCATTACCCAGCTACTCTGGTTATGTGCCTACTTGTACACTCTCTCTACCCCAGGACCACCCATAACATTTATGACAGAAATGCTAACTAATATTTGTGTAGTGCTTTATAGTTTGCAAAGTACTTTCACATAACCATCTTATTTAACCCTCACCAAAAACTATGAACATGATGTTATTTATATTCTCATTTTTTTTTTTTTTTTTTTAGAGATGGGGTTTTACCATGTTGGCCAGGCTGGTCTTGAACTCCTGACCTCAGGTGATCCAACCACCTCGGCCTCCCAAAGTGCTGGGATTACAGGCGTGAGCCACCTCGCCTGGCCTATTTTCTCATCTTTTAAATTGTATTTATTTTTTACTTTTTGTGAGAAAGGGGCTCACTCTGTTGCCTAAGCTAGTCTTAAAATCCTAGCCTCAGTCAATCCTCTCATGTCAGCCTCCCAAAGTGCTGGGATTACAGTTGTGAGCCATTGTATTCAGCTTCCATTTTATAAATAAGTAAAATGATACTCTAAGTATATATATGATTTGTTCAAGACCAACATCTGACTCCTTACACTTTTCCTGTGCAGCTTGAGCTTTCTAAAGCACAGATGGAGTCTCCTCTTAACAAAACAAAAAAATGTTAATGTCTTCTAATTACCTACAGAATGATACAACCTACCTTTCCAGTTTTAACTCCTCCACACCCTATTCTACAATTACTCACTATTCTTAGACTGTACATGTGCTTTTTCAACTCTGTTTCTGTTCACACTGTTCCCACCACCTGTAATACCCTTTTTTCTATCACCATCTGACAAAATTGTACACATCACTCAAGGCCCTGCTTAAGGAGCCTTGCCTTTATGGAGTCTTTTCCCAATGAACTATGATAGATCCAATCAATGCATCCTTTCTCTCTTTTGCTAAATCATTCAGATCAGGGCGAATAAGAGTATTGCTTCTGGAGTGCAATAACCTGGGTTCCAGTGTAGCTATGCCATTTAGGAGCCTTGGGCTTCGGTTCCTATTGATAAAATAGGAATTATAACAGTATCTTGTTCATCAGATTTTGTTGAAATGTCAAACATACTACTAACAGATATACAATAGTTACCAAACTGGCAAGGTTTCTGTAGATGTAAAACTTTATTTCAGAGGGGGAAATAAACAATAAATTAGTAAACATAAATGTTGACACGTAATGTCTTAGCTGGTCATCTATCAAAAGGTTCCCTGAGAATGGAGGAATCAGCAAGGCTGGCCCATTCAATGTGCTAGAGGAAGTGTCCCAAGAGGAGCAAAGAGCAGGTGCAAAGGACAAGAATAAAAGAAGCAGATATGTTTGCAGAGCTGCCATGTCCAGTAACAAGCACAGCAAAGAAAGAGCAGAATAAAATAAGATGAAATTGGAGTGATAAACCAGGCCTTATAAACTGTCATTTAAAAAAAAAATCATTGATTTATTTCTATTTATTTATTTTTAGGATGGAGTCTCGTTCTGTCGTGTAGGCTGGAGTGCAGTCGTGAGATCTCGGCTCACTACAACCTATGCCTCCAAGTTCAACCGATTCTCCTGCCTCAGCATCCTGAGTTGCTGAGTTGCTGGGACTACAGACCCACACCACCACGCCCAGCTAATTTTTGTATTTTTTAGTATTTCATCATGTTGGCCAGGCTGTTTTTGAACTCCTGGCCTCAGGATATCCACCCGCCTTGGCCTCCCAAAGTGCTGGGGTTACAGGCATGAGCCATGATGCCCGGCCATATTTGATTTATAATGGGAAGTATTTTAACATTTTAAGTAAGCAAACGACATGGGCCAAATTTTTTTTTTTTAATTCTCTGGGAAAAGGGAAGGAAGGAAGGGAGGGAGGGAGGGAGGGAGGGAGGGAAAGAGGGAGGAAGGGAGGAAGTAAAAGAGGGAGGGAGGGAGGGAGGGATTGAAAAGGAGTGCTATGGCTTATGTTTGTAGAAGTGAAATAAACTTGTTCAGACGTGAGCTCATGGGCAAGTATGTGATTTAGAGCAAATTATATCTGGCATTCTACTGTCAAGAAGTGGGGTCTGGGCTGGGCACAGTGGTTCACACCTATAATCCCAGCACTTTGGGAGGCTGAGGAGGGCAGATCACGGTCAGGAGTTCAAGACCAGACTGGCCAATATGGTGAAACCCCATCTCTACTAAAAATAAAATTATGTGGGTGTGGTCTGGGTGCCTGTAATCCCAGCTACTCAGGAGGCTGAGGCAAAAGAATCGCTTGAACCCTGGAGGCAGAGTTTGCAGTGAGCCGAGATAGGGCCACTGCACTTCAGCCTGGGTGACAGAGCAAGACTCCATCTCAAAAAAAAAAAAAGTGTAGTCTGACCAGGGGTGATGGCTCGGGCCTGTAATGCCAGCATCTGGGGAGGCCCAGTAAGTGGATCACCTGAGGTCAGGTGTTTGAGACCAGCCTGGTCAACATGATAAAACCTTGTCTTTACTAAAAATACAAAAAAAAAAAAAAAATTAGCAGGGCATGGTGGCAGGTGCCTGTAATCCCAGCTATTTGGGAGGCTGAGGCAGGAGAATCACTTGAACCTGGGAGGCGGAGGTTGCAGTGAGCCAAGATCGCATCACTGTACTCCAGCCTGGGTGACAGTGTGAGACTCAAAACAAACAAACAAACAAAAAAAGTGAATTTCATTAGGTTTTGGGAGAATTAAAGAAAAAATTTGGGGTCAGGTCCTCGCCCCTTGAATAGAGGTAAGCCTATGACTACAGCAACACCATGTGACATCCAAGGCTGAGTCATAAAAAACAACACAGCCACCATTCTGTGCAGATGCCACGCAGCTACAGAGAGGAGCCAGTGAAGGTGTTGCAGGCACTGCCCCAGTGGAGGGACCAGCTAACAGCCAAAATCAATTCCCAGACATGTGAGTAAACAAGATTTCAAATTATTCCAGCCTTAGGTCATTGAGCCACTGCAGCTGATCCCTGCCACAATGCAGACCTAAGCAAATTAAATGTCGTCATTGTTTTAAGTAACTAGACTTTGCAATGTTTTGTTGCATAGCATTAGATAAATGAAACAGCAAGTGTTAGTATTAATATCATGTCTGCTAATTACCCAATAACCTCTCTCCTACCTTCTAAACCTCAATTTTCTTTGATGCAGCAAAATACCCAGTTACAAAAACTTACTTCCCCAGATACCTCACAACATGACATGTTAGTTGACATGTAATTCATTTCTGACTAATGAAATGTAAATGAACATTTACTGGTTAGATCTTCCAGGAAAGCTATTTTATTCCTGACAAAAAGGGACAGAATCAGTTAGTATATACCTTTTGTATTTAGCTTTTGGTCTTCCTGCCCAAAAACAGGATTCAAAGTCTGGAGCCATCTTGCAACACTGCATCCTTTGGAAGCCAACTAAGTGTCCATTAACAGATGAACGCTTAAAGAAATGTGATACATGTACACAATGCAGTAGTATTCAGCCATAAAAAAGAATGAGATCTTGTCATTTGCAGCAACATGGATGGAACTGGAGGATGTTATGTTATGTGAAATAAGCCAGGCACAGAAAGACAAACTTTGCATGTTCTCACTCATTTGTGGGAGCTAGAAATTAAAACAATTGAACCATGGCAATAGAGAGTAGAATGCTGTTTACCAGAGGCTTGGGAAGGATGGTGGGGAGGCAGGGTGGGGATGGTTAATGCATACAAAAATATAGTTACACAGAATAAATTTATTGTACATTTTTAAGTAACCAAAAGAGGAATGGGCACAATGGCTCACCCCTGTAATCCCAGCACTTTGGGAGGCAGAGGCAGGTGGATTGCTTGAACACAGGAGTTCGAGATCAGCATGGGCAACATGGCAAAATCCTGTCTCTACAAAAAATACAAAAATTAGCCAGGAGTGTTGGTGCACACCTGTAGTCGCAGCTACTCGGGAGGTTGAGATGGGAGCACTGCTTGAGCCTTGCAGGCAGAGGTTGGAGTGAGCTGAAATCGTGTCACTGCCCTCCAGCCTGGGTGACAGAGTGAGATCCCGTCCCAAGAAAAATAAAATAACTAAAAGAGTATTATTGGATTGTATGTAACACAAAGAAAGGACAAACGATTGAGATGATGGACACCTCATTTACCCTGATGTGATTACTACACATTGTCATGTCTATATCAAATTACCTCACATATTCCATAATTATATACACAAATGTATATGTACCCACAAAAATTAAAAATTAAAATTAAAAAATTAAACATAAAAATATACTATGCATCAAAGTGAAGAACATAACAGATATATTTTAATTACTCATAGTTATATCAACTTGATGGCTATTTTTACAGTTTGCATATTACCTCACAAATAGGAATAAAAGGGAACTTCCTCAACCTAATAAGAGGCGTATATGAAAATTCTATCTCGCTCCAGTTAAAATGACTTGTAACTTAGCCATTAGTGTCAACTTAGGTAGTGTCTGTCATATTAATGGTACAAGATTGAATACACTTCTTCTAAAATGGTGAACAAAGCAAGTATGTTATATTAGTCAGGGTTCTGCAGAGAAGCAGAAACAACAGGATATATATATATAAAGATTTATTATGAGGAATTGGCTCATGAAATTACAAAGATGAGAAGTCTTACAGTCTACTGTCTGCAAGCTGGAGAACCAGAAAAGCCAGTGGTATAATTTAGTTCAAGTCTGAAGGTCTGAGAATCAGGGTAGCTGGTGGTGTAAAGTACCATCTAAGGCAGGAGAAAATGAGATGAGATGTCCCTGCTCACGCAATGAGACAGAGAAAAAGAAACGAAGTTCTTCTTCTTCCGCATTTTGTTTTGTTTGGGCCTTTAGTGAATTGCATAATGTCCACCCACATTAAAAAGGACAATCTATTTTATTGAGTTAATTGATTCAAATGCTAATCTCGTTCAGGGAAAAAAAAAAAAAAAAAAACCCACAGACACACTCAGAAATATTTAATCTGGAGACCCTACGGCCCTGTCAAGTTGATGTAAAATTAACCACCAGCCCAAGGTGTTGGCTCACACCTGTAATCCCAGCACTGTGAAAGGCCAAGGCAGGTGGATTGCTTAAGCCCAGGAATTCAAGACAGCACAACATGATGAGACCCTGTTCTACCAAAAACAAACAAAATTAATTAGTTACTTTAAAAAATTAGCCATTACAGATGGCCACTCCCACTAATTCTATTCAACATTATCCTGGAGGTTCTAACACTATACTAAGGAAAGAGAAATAAATAAAAGCAAATAGATTGGAAAGGGAGACATAACTCTCTGTTTATTTACAGATATTATCATCTATCAAAAAACCCTAAAGAATCTGCAAGTAAGCCATTAGAACTGAAAGTGAGTTTAGTTAGGTGGCAGGGTACAAAGTCAATATCCAAAACCAATTGTATTTCTTTATATTAGCAATAAATCAGAAATTAAAATTCATGTACAGTAGCATCAAAACTGTAAAATGCTTAAGAATAAATTTGACAAAAGATGATCAAGACCTGTACACTGAAAACTATAAAACATTGCTGAGTAAAATTAAAGAAGACCTAAGTCAATGAAGAAATACACCATGTTCCTAGATTAAATAACTCTATACTGCTAAGATGTCAGTTCTTTCCAAATTTATCTGTAGATTCAAGGCATCCTAATAGAAATCCCAGAAGTAGCAAGCTGACTCTAAAGTTTAAATTAAAGTACAAAAGATATAGAATAGACAAAACAACTTAGAAGAAAAAAGAACAAAGTTAGAGGATATTTTGTGTGTGTTTGTGGTTTTTTTAAAAAGCATTTTCTTAGGAAGTAATTTCTAAAAGTAGAATTAGTGGATGAAAGGCTAGAAGAAAGCTCAATTATTAAAATAAATGTCATAGCTCAAAAACTTTTTGATTTGAAATATATTTTTTTTTTTTTTGAGACGGAGTTTCGCTCTTGTTACCCAGGCTGGAGTGCAATGGCGCGATCTCGGCTCACCGCAACCTCCGCCTCCTGGGTTCAGGCAATTCTCCTGCCTCAGCCTCCTGAGTAGCTGAGATTACAGGCACGCGCCACCATGCCCAGCTAATTTTTTGTAGTTTTAGTAGAGACGGGGTTTCACCATGTTGACCAGGATGGTCTCGATCTCTTGACCTCGTGATCCACCCGCCTCGGCCTCCCAAAGTGCTGGGATTACAGGCTTGAGCCACCGCGCCCGGCCCGATTTGAAATATTTTAAAAATAAATTTGAAGATCTCATGAGCTTGAGCAATGCCCACGCGATTCCACTGTTTAGAGACCAGGTGATAATGAAATGGGAGGTGGCAGGAGGATGGAGTAGGATTATCTGCTGGTGATATATATGATGAATGAGAAAGAAAAATACTAATTTACTAACTAAATTAATATTGTGGTAAATTTACTAATAAATAAAAAGAAAAACATCCTATTACATAGAAGATATTTTATAAATATTTGATGTTTATAATTATGCTTCAAGAGAGTAAAGACTAACAGCATTAATTTTTAGAAACTCTAGAAAATGTACTGAACTGGGAACCTGCTGATGTAAACTTTAGTGCTCTGCCTGCCAATAATCAGCCAACTGACTTTGAGGAGGAGTTTTCATCTCTAGGTCTTAACCTTGATATTTCAAAAGGAGGTTATGAAAGGACTGTTTTGAGAGTTATACCACAGATTCCATTTAGGCCTCTCTATTAAAATTTCAGTATTATTACATTTTGACATAACTTCCATTTATTTCTTCCCTATAGAATCCAATTCCTGATAATTTATCTTTATTAAAGAGCAGCACCATGATATTATTTCCAAGGAATTAAGGGCTCTAAAATGGTCTTCCCTTTACCATCAAGGATCAGTAAAGAAGGCATTTAAGCCCAGCATGGTGGCATGCACCTGTAGTTCTAACTACCCAGGATGAAACCAGGAGTTCAGCGTTGCAGAGTACTATGACTGCACCTGTGAACAGTCACTGTACTAGATATGCCGGGCAATATAGCAATATCCCATCTCCAAAAAATATTAAAAATTAAAATTTGAAAAAGAAAACATTGTCTCTACCACTGGTTATGGAAACTTCTGTTTTTGCTTCTTTCTGAAGTCCTCCAAATGTAGTCCGATATATTACAGGCATGGAATACCACCATTATTTCTCTCTAGTGATTTCTAGAACAGTCTAGATTATTGGAGAATATATAAATAAACTAAAAACAAGTTTAAGTCCACCAACTGATCTTTCTCTAGCTACATCTGCAAAGCCCTGTCTTATAGTTTTAAGTCCGGATTGCTTACTTACTGGGAAAACTACTGGGCTCATAATAATTTTACTCCAAAAAGAGCCCTGTTTAGGCTATCTTATTTTAGTGTATAGAGTCAGACTTTAAAAAGATACGCAACATGAACAAAATTTTGCAAAGTCTTAAAAAGTACTTTGTTTTTTAGCTATGATAGAATGAGGTACACCTACATTATTCTGCCCAAGGTAGGCCCCAGATGAAAGATCCACCCATATTAAGACTTGACTATTTACACAGAATTTAAGAGACAGAAAATCTCTCCTCTGAAGATCATACTCTTGGATTCAGGAGCTTTTAAAATTTTATTTCCTCCTATGTTATTCCAGAGTATGCCATCAGCCCAAATGACCTGCTAATCTTTACTAGCTTATGTGAGGCCATTTTGAGATATAAGCTTCATATAGTTAGTAAAAACTTCAGGGGTAGTCTCATGTTGTTGTAAGGGCAAAAGGATCTTTCTTTTCACCTCCAGATGGTTTGAGAATTTGAATCTATAAACAAACTTACAATAGACAGATTAAAAGCAGAACAGGCATACAAATTTATAAATGTACGAGCACATGGAAGTCAGACAAAGTATAAAACTCAAAGAAGAACGAGATTATTGAAGGTTAAATACCTTCTTCATAGGGCATAGGGAAGAAGGGAATGTAGGTAATTTTAGAGGAAGAGTAGATAATTTTTAGGGGAGATGAATTCGCCCAAAGAACAGACAATAGCCTGGGACAAAGTTCGCCTGGGCTCTGAGATAGATGGTGACAATTTACGAGAAGGTGAGTGGCAGAATTGCACTGTGAACAAAGGCTTTATGCAGATGAAGTCTCTCAGGCAACAGTGCTCAGAAGAGTAGATGAAAAGTGTGTCTGGGATTATGTGGTGACAATCTTTTAATTTTTTTGAGGGGTCTTTCTTTGTTGCCCTGGCTGAAGTGCAGTGGCACGATCACAGCTCACTGCAGCCTCTTCCTAGCTCAGGTGATTCTCCTGTCTCAGCCTCCTGAGTAGTTGGGACTACAGATGTGCACCAACTCACCCAGCTATTTTTTTTTGTTTTTTTTTTTGTTTGTTTGTTTGTTTGTTTTTTCTTTTTTTTGAGACG